AACGGCAAGTACCAATGTGACTTTTTCCGAGTTATATGTACTTTCTAAGATTATTCAGACACCACTGACAAACGGTGAAGGAAAACATCGTGAGGAAACTTGGGCTTATAATTTCTAATAATAAGTTTGAAATCACAAACCCGCATTGAGCAAGCGTGGTGAGTAATGCTCAAAACCTTCTCCGTGTAAGAAGAGGCTTTGCTCAGCAGTGGGCATTTATAGGCTGTTGATGATGATGATGATGATACCTACATATAAATTACCTATATAAAATAGGGTTATTCTGACCCCCTACTATACAAATGTCACATAGCTCTATTTGAACGTGTAAATAGAAAAGTCGATACCTGGGCTTTGCTCTGACATTACCACTCTCTGTTTTCTTATAATGTTTTTTTCTATTCGCCTATTCGAATACCGACTATATCCTTTTCCTCTTTAAACCCTTGACAGTATAACGCTAGCAAAGCCCGTATTTTGACATGCCACAGGTGTAACCTACTACGAAGTTTTCCCAGACAGGTATTTAAATAGATATTTCCTAGTTCTTAAGTAGTACCTACAAGATGATGAATGACCTAACAGTAAACTTGTTTCACAAGTCTCCCCATATCACAATGCATGTTATGGTAATCGAAGTTAAACAGGTGTCGTCAGCAACATTGTGCCGGTGGGAAGATGAGCCAGACTTTACAAATATTCTCTACTGACCTCATTCAGGAAAGGGAACTAAAATCTTCTACAGTTTCAAGATTTAAATGTTTCATTGTTTGGTTTCCAAAGCAATCTTTGTCGATGTCAAGCATTCATTGAATTCGGGTCATAAGTATGTGTATGTAAGCGAAGACGTGGAATAAGTGAACCGAGGAGCCAAGGGATATATGTGGCGACCTATCTTTCAACGTGGAAGACTAAGATAGAGGCTTTTGTTTAGTAGTAGGCTTTTGTTTAAGTGTGGGAGAGCCATGCTTCGGCACGAATGGGCCAGCTCGACCGGAGTTATCACTCCGTGGTATCCCACGGCCTCACAGAAAACCGACGTGAAGCAACGCTTTAGTCGTGTGAGTGAGGTTACCGGAGGCCCAATTACCTTCCCCTTCCCCAATCTCCCCAATCCCTGAATGCCCAACGATCCACAAACTCCTAATCCCCAAAAAGCCGGTGACGTAACGCCTCTGGTGTTCCAGGTGTCCACGGGTGACGCCGTTTGCTTACCATCAGGTGATCCGTCGGCTCGTATACCGGCTTATGCCATAAAAAAGTAGAAGTGTTTCGGTTGATAATGTACGAAAATGTATGATGATGTAAAGTGATGTATACTGTATGTTCAGCTCTATCAGTTCTTAATTTTTTAATCTACAGGTTAGAATACATTTAGGATTCATCTTATATTGTAAGAGTTTCAATGGGTGTGGTGTAACAGGCTTGTTACAAAATATTACCTTTGTCATCATCAGCCCCATTCCGTAAACATAGACGGCTAAGCCTATCCAATAGCACGCTACTGAGATTTTTTCTTGTCCTATATTAATATCTTCTGATTCATTTCATTGCGGGAACCAAACCATTAATTTTCCTGGGACGCGCCGGACTTCAGTATTTCGGTGTTTTAGTAGTTGTATCTACAGGAGATCCTGGCTTACAGGAGTTGCAGCGGTTTTGGGAGGTTGTGGCGGGCTTCTCCCATTAAAAACCACGGTACTGAGCTCAATCGTATAGCTGTTCGCATCTACCCGCTGTACAGCCAGCAGTGCTCTAGCTACACAGCGGGTTCGTCACTACACCAAACTGGAAGGCATCTAATATTTTTTTTACTATTATAATTTACATACATTTTTAAATACTACTTACAAAATAAAATAAAAAATTTAAACATATAAAAAGCAGTAGCCCACCAGTAACGGGAGAGATCCAAGCTACCGGTGGTCAGGGCTCCAGAGAAAGGAATTTCCGGACAATACGCGCCGTGTCCAGAAGTACTGCTTTCTGCATCAGGCCCTTGACCCAACCATCTAACGCTAGCCTACTCAGATGTTGGTCGAGACTTTTAGCAATGAATATTATATTATAATTATTATTAATGCCTAAATGTAATTTTCCTAAAAAACAAGTCTTGTTTTGTAATGAAACTGCATCAGACTACTAAACCCTTAAATCGTCGCAAGCAAATGACATTCTAGGACGAGATAACTCCGGACCAAAGTCGAGACGAATTCATGGAAAATATACTATTTTTATTTACCATATAATAAAACTTGATACTTAAGTTAATACAAGTATTTACTTTATATGTGCGTTGGTAATTTATTTTTGCATGACCTATTGTAGCATACTAACATATACTAAGCATAGATAATAGACAATCTGCTCACGTAATTGATTATCAGTAACTATCACTTCTCACTTGTTTCAAAAGTACCAAATTATGGTTTAATTGAAATAAATGCTTTGACATTGGCTTAGACTTTTCAGGCACAAATAAATTGCATAAAACTGCAAATTAACAAACTAGGTAATGATAATAAATTAAAAATTATGCAATTGCCGAAACCAGTTTAAACATTATCAATTTTGACGTGACAACGTCTTATAAATTGGTTTGCCGGGTGACACTTCAAGAAACTGCGTTACGCTCCGCTCACGTTATGCGCTCACAATGAGAGCGAGTGAGAGGCACGCGTCCCTTCCACTCGGGCATGGTTAGCCCGCCTAAGAGCGAGAGAGACAGACATAAAAAGTGAAAGGCACGCGTCCCTTCCACTCAAGCACAGTTAGCCCGCCTAAGAGCGAGAGAGAGAGAGTGAGAGAGATAGGCATACACACCGGTTCATGTCTATACGAATGAATATTCACATTAAAATTATTTTACCACTCAAAGTCGTTGACACGTAAAACTTTCGCCCGTATACCGACTTTACAGGCAACCAATTTTTTGAAGAGTACACACTTAGTCACGTTTAACAGACATTTATCCTTTGTAATTAAACTTATATTTAGAAATTATAAGTCCAGGTTTCCTCACGATGTTTTCCTTCACTGTTTGTCAGTGGTGTCTAAATAATCTTAGAAAGTATATATGTAACTCGAAAAAGGTCACAATTATATTAAAACTTTCGTGAGACATGCCGAATTAATTATTATGTTTTTGACTTACTCATATTATGGAATGCTACTCATGAATATGAGCCTTTACCATGTCTTGGAACTAGTCGAGTTCCTCGTCAAATAGTTACGTGAGTAAGCCGTAAACATTATAATTAAACTCACATTGGTACTTGCCCTTGCCGTTGATAGGTTTCGACTCCGCACCCTCGTGCATGAGAAGCGGACGTCTTAAGCCTCCGGGTCACCACGACATAGATTACAAGGGTTAGATTAGTTATCGGATTTTCAAAGGATTTTGAGTGACCCTGAGTTGTATAAGACCTTATTTTGGATTTTCCGTTTAGTTACGACATAATGCTGAACACGTGAATACGAAACAAATACAATGCAAATGTACCGAGCGTGTTACCCGATCTAATCTCACTGGTTATGTCAATACTAGTTATTTTAGCATTGCAAACTGTACACATCTTCAATAGTTAAGTAAATAAGAGCTGATAAAGATATTTATTGTGCAGATAATTTTATTGCTTACAATTATTACGTGGTAGTTTCGTCTGCAGTCTTTGTTTAACATGTCCGGACACACTGTTACAGGGTAGATGGTGCCGGACCCTGTTTATTATAATTTCTGTCGTGTCTAATGCAGTGATATGATTTTTTATATTGCTTTAACCGTAACTTGATGCGATGACAATTTTTACGTGTCTCTAGTTATCTAGCTGTCTTATGCAGGGTGATTGAGTGGTGTTCAGCCCTTCATTTACCTACATTCAGTTTGGTAACAGATTAAATCGAAGATATTTGATACAAACTTATAATTAGGAATTATAAGCCCAGGTTTCCTCACGATGTTTTCCTCCACACCGTTTGTTAGTGGTGAAAAAGTCACATTAGTTCTTGCTGTTGGTACGTTTCGAGCCCGTATCCTTATCAATGAGAAGAGGGCATCTTATCCCACCGGGCCACCACGACATTTTTTTTATAAACAACGCGACATACAATATGTTTTCTATTGTGTCTCATATATCGACAGACAAGAGGTAAATTGGTTAACATGAATTTCATAACATTCATCGTTGTATAATTCTTTAACCGATAGCCACTATCCATTTCCAATTTCTATAATAGTGTATCCAATCTTTATACCAATTAGTTGCAATCTCGTCTGAAACCGTCTATTTGCTTTCCAGTCACGAGATAATTATATCGCCAACCGAATGAATTCCTAATTCCATATAAGGCTAATTTATTAATGTTTGCACAGACAGCTGAAATTAGTGCATTTTTAAGCTTTCTTCGTATCTTTACTTACTTTGTACTTAGTTTGTGAATTTCCCAGAAGTATCCTTCAACTTAGTACACTTTGGTAACACAAGTCGGTATGACAGTGCTATTATTGATGTCGAATAAAAATCGTACAAACATTGTACATACATACAAATAGTTATTAATAAACAAAATACTACGCAATAATTGGTTTGGCAATCATGTTGGCCACTCTTTTTTAAACTAATGTCAAGTTTCATGGGACTACTAGTTTTAAACTTGTAGTGAAACGTGAAACAACGCTTGTGTTGTGTTTCGTCATGTGAGTGAGGCTACCGGAGGCCCATGCTCCCCCCCCCCCCCTACCCCTTCTCCAGTATCCATAATCCCCGAATCCCTCACAATCCTCAAATTTCCAATTTCTAGAAAGCCAGTAACGCACTTGTAACGCCACTGGTGTCCATGGGCGACGCCGATTGTAAGTAAATTATAACCCCTAATTATACTGTTACAGCCTTTGGTAAACTAATGAAGAAATCAATTATGTATCTCATGAATAAATATGTTTATTAATTAAAGACTAATTTGTACAAATCTCAGCTATTATTCTATAACGCAATGCAATCTCAAACTTGTTTGGTTACAATATCTGGCGGTAATAATGTCGCTACTAGGACTCCACCTGTAAAGATAAAACATTTTCTTTATTTTAAAATTTATTTATCGATTCGTTATAGCAAAATGAGCTCTAATTACAAGGATATTATGTAAAAGAATTGTATACAGCAGATACCAAACAGTTCTTTCTTCTAATTCAAAGTCCCAGATTATCGTTAAAAGAATTCATTAAACTCCACCAATAAAATAACTTACTCATCAGATAAGCAGCGAAAGTGTAGAGAGTCATAGTACAGTGTGTCATCACGAAGGTACCCAAGAAGTAGACTCCTGCCAGGCCGCTCATACGAGCCACCATCACGCCCAAACATGCTGCCATACCACTGGAGAACAGATTGCTAAATTACTTAAAACTTAAATCATAACTTCATCTCTATGTAACTCCCTAAAATCCTTTCTTTTGGTAAAACCAACTATCTCCAACCCGTCTGTTAAACATGAAAATTATGTTTTCAAGCCAATAAACAAGCAGACGGATCACCTGATGGTAAGCAATCTGCGTCGTCCATGGACACCCGAAACACCAACGTCGTTGTAAATGCGTTACCGGCCTTTTGCGGATTAGGAATTTAAGGATTGTTGTATTCAGGGTTTTAGGAGATTGGGGAGGAGGGGGGGGGGGTTATTAGTACTCCGGAAACCTCACGCACACGACAAAACACAACACAAACGTTGTCTCACATTGGTTTTCTGCCCGGCCGTGGTATCACTCCGGTTGAGCCGGCTCCTACATGTGGGAAACCTTTCAAGAAAGCCCATAGCTCTAGTGGGATTCACTTTATTTGCACGGCCTGCTGATGATGATAAGAGTTCCAAATAAAACCTTTACTTCATTTTAAAAGCTCTAATCATGATAATGACCTATTCTAGTTCAGACCAACTCACCTATTAAAAGTAGGGTACACCTCCACATAGTAGCAAAACAGTACACCCATGCAAAGATTCGTGAAGGTCATTCCTAGGAACAGCACCAGGCTAGCCATGTTGTTCTGATTGTAAACCGCTCCAAGACTTGACAGAGCTGGTATGAAGAGGAACAGGATCATCAGCAACTTCTTTCTGGAAGCCAGCTTGGATATCATCAGGGTGATGGTTGCGAAGAGTACACCGTGGGTGATGGCTGATATCAGGGTGTGAGACTTGATTGATGTGTCGCATATTGACTGTCAAAAATTTTATAATGTAAATATTCCCCCGTCTGGTTTAATTATACTGTTAGGTTTACTCCTGTTAACCAGTCCCGTTAAAGTCAAAGTGTCATAGTCTCAAAGTCAAAGTCTCAAAATCAAAGTCTAACAGTCAGTTTCAAAGTCAAAATTTCAAATTAAAAGGAAAAGTCAAATTCAAAGTCAATGTCTCATAGTCGAAGCTTCAAAGACGAAGTCTCAAAGTCATACATTGTCATTAAACATTCGGACACTCACGGTATCATTATATTCAGAGGATGTAGACTTAAGAATGCTGCACAAACTTCTGGATCCGTCTCCGTTGTATGAGCTACTGCCATCCGTGAAGGCTCCGATGATGTACGGCATCCAAATTACCAAGCTGTTGTTACTGTAGAACACCAAAACAATAGACAATAGTAATATTTAAAAGCATACATACAAACATAACATCACGGCTTTTATCCCCGAAGGGGTAAGCAGAAGTGCACATAGAAGTAACACCCACTTTTCACAATTCATGTTATGAGTCCCATGTAATAGGGGGTGAGCCTATTACCATATACCAGGCACCATTCCAGACTCCGTGCTACTGCTGAGATTTTTCCCGAGAAATCGAACCCGAGGCCCGGCAGTCGCACTTGCGACCACTCGGTCAACGAGGCAGTCAAAAGCAATACAAGAAATTAATTTAATTTTCTAACCGATGAATAGCTGTGCTTGAAAATTATCCTTGAAAATAGTTTTATACAGAACACGACAATGTTATATTTAATTATGCTCCTACTTTATGGGTCATTACTTTAAGATATATTAAAAAGTATTCTGTAATTTGATGGACTTACACGCTATAAACGATGGTTGTCAAGTAGAAGAGTTGCAATGTCCTCCAGAGCAGTGGTTTCCTGAACAGCGGTATACTCTGTAGCCACATGGACCTCAAAATATGTCCATCTTCATATTTGAAACTTCTGTCTTCATTTAGACGTACTTTTTGTACCTAGAACGCCATATAAATAACTAATTATTGCCGCGTGGTTTTACCCGCTCAGCTCAGCTCCTATTGATTGTAGCGTGATGATTTATAGCATATAGCCTTCCTCAATAAATGCACTATCCGTTATCAAAAGGATTATTCAAATCGGACTAGTAATTCCGAAGATTAGAACGTTTAAACAAACAAACTAACTCTAGCGTGATGATTTATAGCATATAGCCTTTCTCAATAAATGCACTATCCAACATAGAAAGAAATATTCAAATCGGACTAGTAATTTCGAAGATTAGATTGTTCAAACAAACAAACATACAAACTTGTCAGATTTGTATATAAATGGTATAAGACAAGATTAATCATGTAGGGATATATAGTAATAATTTCTAACAAGTTGCGTAAATTAAAAGTTTTGTGTTTAACCATTTTATTAACCATCCCCTAAATAAGGAACATATCTGTTTGTTCTCTTATACGTGTGATTTTTTTTAATATTTTCGCTAAAGATACAAAAACCAATTCCATTAGGTCAATTAACTAAAAATCGTGTGTTACCCACGTGAATATGGGAGAAAACACGTGAGAAAAGCTCTACTAGTCTACTAGAGTAGGCTGCGCGACATCGCCGCGACCACATACGCTGCTCCTGAGGAAGAACCCCTCTGTGGTTCGAAACTAGTAGAGCGTTTCTCAGTATATTCACGTGAGTAACCCGCGATTTTTAGTTAATTTAGTATGTCTCACGATAGTTTTCATCAGGACATTTGACATTTCATTTTAAATTATTTTACCATCTTCGATTAGCTCAAAAATAAATAAAGAGCAACGAACCAAGAAAGACACTATTCTAACTTGTATAACTTACAGGATAATCACCCTTTCGACCATTTCTCGCCCACACCTTGGCAAGATACTCCAGAGCCAGTTCTTCACGACCGACATTCACCAGGAACTTGGGGCTCTCGTAGTAAAAATGTAGGAAGAATGCGCTGATGCCGAGTGGCACAGCAAGCGTGATGGTCAACAGCCTCCAGGGTGTGAAGACGAGGATATTCAGGTCGTATGAGAAGTTAAACTGGAGTATCAAGTAGGCTGGCACTGTACGGAACAAAATAACAAAATATCTGTTATTTTGTGTAGAGATAGTAATACTGATTTATTTTCTACACAAAACTATCTGCGCCTGTTTAATGCGCATGGGCAATCACTCTGCGTTTAGCGATTCAATTATTTGAGAATATTTTTATGCCGAGCAAGGGGTCTCGGGATTCCCGGGTCGGGCAAAGTATTGCTGGGTTTTTTTTAATTCTTAGTGGTAGCACGCAGTCTAAAATTGTGCCCGGTATATAGCAATAGGCTCACCCCTTATTACATGGGACTCATAACATAAATAGTGAAAAGTGGGTGTTACGTTGTACAGTTTGCATTAAGTACCGTGATCTGCACCTCTGCCTACCCCTTAGGGGATAACAGGCGTGATGTTATGATGTTATGTAAGTTTTATGGCGGCATTAATCTGTCAAACACCAAGCGGTCACCGGTGACCGCGACCTATTGTTCTTTAATTGTGTCTATAAAACCGGTACTCGACGAGTTAAGTAACACTATTAAACTTACAACTAAGATTTAAAGTACTTTGAAATGCTCACCGACATAGGACAGCACGAACAGCATCATGGCACTGGTCATGATCAGCAGGTACACTCCTCGCACGGAGCCACCACATGACTCATTCAACAGAGCATAAGCACAGGAGTGGACACCGCTAGAACTGTATGAAGAGATTTGTATTGTAACTTTCGTGAGACATACCAAATAAATTATTATGTTTTCGGCTTACTCACGTAATAATTTGTTGTGACACTACAGTGTTGCAGGTCTGGAGTGTGACACAGTGAGCGCGATATGTAACATTGGGGATGTAACCGGGATTCGAACCCAACAACACCGACGCAGCTGCCGGCGGGCGAGTCTAGCGTGTCAACAGTGCCACTCGTGCCGCCGTCGCCGATACCACGAATGGAAGAAAGTGCGCGTGAAACAAGGCAGAGGGCGCGCTGGGCCCGCAGACTCGAGTAGCCAGTAGCAGCGCGACAGTCGCCGCATCGCGGGTCGCGAAATGCTGCTCATGAATATGAGCCTCTAGCATGGCTTGAAACTAGTCGAGTTTCTCGTCAAATTATTACGTGAGTATGCCGAAAACATAATAATTTATTTGTACATTCCTTATTGTATGTATACTATTCTAAAGTTCATCATTATCATCATCACCAACAGCCTGTAAACGCCCACTGCTGAGCAAAGCCTCTCACACGGAGAAGATTCATTAATCACAATGCTTGCTCAATGCGGGTTGGCGATTACAAACTTATAAATAGAAATTATAAGCCCAGGTTTCCTCACGATGTTTCTCTCAACGTTTGTCAGTGGTGTCTAGGTAATCTTAGAAAGTAAGTACATATAACTCGGAAAAAGTCACATTGGTACTTGTCGTTGGTAGGTTTTGAACCCGCATCCTCATGCACAAGAAGTGGGCGTCCAATACCTCCGCGCCACCACGACCTATTCTAAAGTTACATTTGTGGTATATGTTGTAAAATGGGCAGCTTTGTCGGTACAGCAATCTCGTCCAAGCAACCTTAGAGATGGATTAAGGCCAAAACATAGACACTGCCGACATAAGGCAGAAAACTGTTGAAGGTAAATCCTTCGTGGTCCATTAGTCCTTCACATATGTGTCAATGAGATAGTCTTTTGTTTTCTGTTAACTCTTTACCCACAATTTTAAAAAGTAAGTTTTAAAGTTGCAAGCCTTTCGGTTTTCTACCGGATACATTTCGGTGGGTGTGCGGGGGAATTGCACAACTTGATTCCCCCTAGTCCTTTCCATCATCGTACCACAAGACAATCGGCGAAGCGTCACGGATTCATGGTAGATGTTCCGCCCACACGCACGAAGCGCTTCGCTTCAAGGTTCCTTGTGCGTACTGCTAAAGAGTGGAATTCTTTGCCAGAGTCTGTATTTCCTGATGGGAGTAACCTGGGAGTCTTCAAGGCCCGAATGAATAGGTTGCTTATGGGACGACGTGCTCCATCGTAGACCGCATCATCGCTTACCACCAGGCGAGATAGTGGTCAAACGTCGCCCCATCAAATATATACATATAAAAAAAGTAAAAAACTGAATATAACATAAAACTTCACAATCTTTTATCTAAAGTTACAATACCTACTCACAAGCTAGCACTGAAGACCTTGAGCACAGCCAGCATGATCCAGTGTACAGAGAAGGAGCTGATGAAGGAGAATACAAAACTCCCCCAGAGAGCTATCAGGAGAGCCTTGTGTCTGCCGTGGACACTGGATATGTAGCCCCATGGTATGGATGTCAGAACTGACCCTGATTGTGATAAAAATCTTTAGAAAAGGTTTCAAGAGATATGTTAACAGAGCAGATCAAAGATTAAGCTTTTTCGTGTTGAATTTTAATTATAGTCGAGTATCATTAGGTGAGTTCCTATATGCGCAATTACGGGGCAAGGGTTCCACTTCTAAATCAAAGTATTGCTTTTTAATGTTGTTTGTTTTTACGTTACTCTCAGTACCGACTTATCTAAAATTAAAATACTTAATTTAGCTCGACTCAGGGGTCAAAGCCTAAACCCCTTTGCTCGGCAGTTGCATTTACCACTCGACCTACCTAACAGTAATAGTAAACCTGTTTTGTCAACTTATTAAAGGTCATGACTTCCATGTGTCCATGGGCGACGCCGATTGCTTACCATCAGGCGATCCGTCAGCTCGTTCACCGGCTTATGCCATAAAAAAAAATCTTTGGTCATCGCCAAGGTCATTTTAAACCTATTGGAGTGAATAGACTGCCTCGTTGGCCGAGTGTTCGCAAGTGTGACTGTCGGGCAAGGGGTCTCGGGTTCCATTCCCGGGTCGGGCAAAGTACCTATTATTGGGTTTCAGTAGTAGCACGGAGTCTGGAATTGTGCCCGGTATATGGCAATAGCCTCACCCCCTATTACATGGGACTCATAACATAAATAGTGAAAAGTGGGTGTTATGATGTGATGTGGAGTGAATAGGTTTTTTAAGGGTCGGCAAGGCGCATGTCACGCCCCAAGTGTTACAAGCGTACATAGGCTACGGTAACCGCTTACCATCAGGTGGGCTGTGTGCTTTTTTTGCCACCGTCGCGTCGTGGTATAAAAAAAAGAAAAAAACTTACCAACAAAAGGCATGGACAATATGACACTCTTCTGCCACTGCTCCAGCTGGAAGTCACATTCACTGCCGGTGACAATGACTGACAGGCCGAAGATGTCCACCGCCATGCTGAGGATGGCCAGACTCAAGACTGCTAGGAGACCGTAGTTGTAGCACCCATTCCCTATCCAATTATAGCAAGTTACTTTATTTATTTGGATCGTGTACTGATTCATTTAGTCAGTCAATGGTTCCAAAAGATATGGCCTCGTTGAAAATCATACAATTTAGTCATCGATCTCCGATAAATACAATTTAGTTTAAACTGTCAAACACCAAGCGGTCACCGGTGACCGCGACCTATTGTTCTTTAACTCGTCGAGTACCGGTTTTATAGACACAATTAAAGAACAATAGGCCGCGGTCACCGGTGACCGCTTGGTGTTTGACAGATTAATTGTGTCTATAAAACCGGTACTCGACGAGTTAATAATATTTTCTTTCTCTATGGGTACCTACTTTAACTTTATTATCTGTAAAGCATTGCAAATATTTGATCTTACACACATACATAACATCACGTCTGGCTCCCATGGGAGTAGTCAGAGACTATGGAAAGCTTTTTTTATGGTATAAGCTGGTAAACGAGCGGACGTAAGCAATCGGCGTCACCCATGTACACCTGGAACACCAGAGGTTGAGTGCGTTACCCGCCCTTTGGGAATTAGGATTCAGGGATTGGGGATATTGGTACAGGGGGAGGGGATAATTTAGCATCCGGTAACTACACTCACACGAGACAACACAACGCAAGTGCTGTTTCACGTCGGTTTTCTGCTCGGCCGTGGTATCACTCCGGTCGAACCGGCCCATTCGTGCTGAAGCATGGCACACGCACTCGGACCACGATTGCTACGATTCTTACATACCTCTTTCGCTTCATCAACAGTCTTTTCAATTGATCTTACTATTCATATAAATCCTCCTTACCTGTTAAATCAATTGCTTCTTCATAATTATAAGTTCTGTCATCATTTTCAACACCATTACAGTTCCTGTCATCACTATTAACCACTTTTATGGTGCACATTCTATTATTTACCATCATAAAACCAAACCGAGTATGTAGTCAAAATGCTTAGAAATAAATAGGGACTAGGTTCTAAGTAATTACTCAAGTAAATACTAACGACCTTAACCTCGACCTAAGAACTACAAACTAAATCTGTATCTACCATATCATGCTGCATAATATGCCAGAATCGGTGTTTTAAAATATTATTTTCTAATCATTTAATACAGTATAGATAAGATCGGTGCACATAACAAGGGTTTATCGCGTTTATGCGTTATCTTACAATGCAGTTTTTCATGAAAACCGACAGTTTTAATAGGCATGAGCCATGAAGATAGGTTCTGGCGAGGATTGTGGTTCTGTAGTATTGAGTATTGAAGTAATACGGAGGGTTGTCAATCGTAATATTTATCCACCGTGCAAATAATGTGTTCTCAGTGATGGTTATCCTTTTGAAAATTAGGTAGGCAGGTTATTTTGTTTCCATAATAACTGTAGTAAGTAAATACTAAATTAGAAATTGAAGTAATTTTTAAAAAATCTTTATTTTTCTTTAAACGTTGCCCCACACTAGAATTTCCTCCTGTGTCGTGGGTGCGTTTACAAACATACAAATTCACATACACATGACACCCAGACCCGAAACAACAATTTGTGGATCGCACAAAGTGTTGTTCCTTGCGGGAATCGAACCAGCGACACGCTGCACGGCAGCCGGTTGCCCTGCCACAGCACCAACCGTGTAGTCATCTTCTGATATTTAGAATCATAATAATTAGACAAAGTTTCAGCTATAAACTGTCCTATACTATAAAGACAATATTTATAAACTCACTTCACTAACAAACATGTTACTTCGATCCCCAATCAACAGACCCGTGTTATCTCATAATAAGGTGCAATATAAATTAATACAAAGCAATTAAAATGTTCAAAGAAAGTGATTAAAAAACATTTACTATAATACTAATTCCTAAATACTGTGATAACACTAAAACCGTACTGTTTGACGAATATACATTATCTGGTTGTACTTTATTTTATAACCTAGTTTTGATAGCATAACAAACTGGTATAGTGGGGTGTAAACTGGGAATCAAATACATAATGGTACACCTTTCATATAGGCTAATTCAATAGCTTTTTTATTTCGATAGTTGATTCCGAAGTCCCAATAATTTTTGACGTTGTATTGTCGTTACATCGTTCTCACATATACCTATATACAATTGGTAAAGAATCAGATAATACATCAATGAGATTGTAAAAAACATATTTTTTCGATGGAGTTTCTTGCTCGTTCTTCTCCATTCGAAACTACACTTTGGAACGAGCGCCTAGCTTCACTGACAGACCGACGGACGGACAATTCAATTTTTGACGTTTCTAAAGTGCCTAATTATAGATTCATTGAAATAAATGGTTTGATTTTTTTTTATTTTGACGCAAGACAGGTCATGATAACTTATGATCAATTTCAGGTTAAGGTTCTTGTTCAAATTCAGGTTCTGATTGAGGTTTAATTTTAGGTTCGGGGTCAATGTGTGACTCACTTTTGAGTTTTGGCTAACGTTCAGTTTCAGCGTCAAGTTTGTAATTTTTTTACTACATTCCTCCATATAGGTATATACAGATCTAATAATAAAAAAATACAAAAATAACAATATAATTAAGGCTCAGGTTCAGACTAAGTTTAACTCCTTTATATTGTTGACTTATAGCATAAGCCGGTAAACGAGCAGATGGATCACGTAAGCAATCGGCGCCGCCCATGGGCACCCGAAACACCAAGGCGTTAGAAGTGCGTAACCGGCCTTTTGGGAATTGGGAATTTGAGGATTGTGGAGGATTCGGGGATTCAGGAGACTAGGGAAGGAGGTAATTTGACCTCTGGTAACCTCACTCACACGACGAAACACAACGCAAGCGTAGTTTCACGGCGGTTTTCTGCTCGGCCGTGGTATCAATCCGGTCGAGCCAGCTCATTCGTGCCGAAGCATAGCTGTACCACACTTAAATATCTTCGAAGTATTTTAATCAAATATAAGATGTTGCTTAGACCCCTCTAAGCAACATCTGCTGCTGAACTGGACTATTTATAGGACCCTGTACAGTATGTTGTTGGTATTAATTTGTTAACGGTGACAACCAAGGTGGATATAGGTAGCGAGGTAAAAGTCACATAATCTTTTCGAAATTTAGGCGTTTTTGGAGATGTCAAGGGTACGGTATAAATGAAAGACAATAGTTTGTGATTATAATTATTTAATAGATATAAAAATATAACAGTATGACTACGCCTCACGTGGTCGGCCGCTCCGGACGCGTGCTCTTTGGTAGAATGATGCACAGCAACCCGCTTGCTGTAACATACAGCAGACAAACATTATCATCATCATCATATTAGCTACAATACAAGATGCCCATTGCTGGGGTATGCCCGAATCAGGGAGTGAACCTAAACCTAACTTTACTTGTTATTCTTGCAAATATTTCATTCAACCAATTGAATAGATAATATTATACATCTTTTACTTATTTCTAATGAGGGCAATTACATTAATGTAAAGTAACACACAGTTAGAATAGTTGTATATTTTATAAAAAAAACATGTTCATCTAAAGATGTATAGGAACCCGAAAGACCAACATAACTTACGCGCTATTACAAAGAACTTTTGTTTTCTATATTTTGCCCGAATCGAACCTAGTTCTATAGCTGTACAGTCACCACTCGACCAATAAAAAAGAGATACCATTACATAATATTACAAAAATAATATATATAACTGTTGGCACAGATACTGGGCAATCATGATATGAGATGTGTTCGATTTCCGGACAGATCTAATATTTTTAGAATACTAATTGTTCCGGGTTTGGTGGTTGTTTGAATTGTGTTGTCTTCTATCTTACCATTAATAATAATAATATTTTATCGGACCAAGAGATCTTGGTCCGATAAAATATTATTCGATTTTACATAAAATACCTGTTAAAAGTAACAAATCGTGTCAAATTATGAGAAGTGCACTGCAATCTAGATCTAGGACCTTCCTACATACTTAGGACATAGGGCTCGTAACAGAAGTGGAGAAAAGGAGATGTTATATTTAATTTAAGTTTGTGCACGTTCTACGAATAGACATTTTTTGAAAAAAAAAAATCATTACCTGCGTACTGAAGTACAAATACAACAAGAAACACAACATAACAACTCCTTGCCTGATCCACAGATTAGTGTTCCAGGTCTGGGTGTCATGTGTACCTTTGTGAACAGCGACACAGGAGAAAACACCAGTGTGGGGAAAAGTTTAAAAAAAGCTGTAATAGGACCGTTTAATACTCACTTATAAGCAACGTTCCGAACATGTATATAGGCACTATGCAGTACTCGTCCACTAGGGCGCCGAAGATAACGTTGCCCACTATGGCACCTATCCGCCCACACATCACCGTTACCGCCATGGCTGTGGCACTGAAAGGTCACAAGTTTGGGTTATACATAGGTAATATCAGTAATAACCAAGATCATCGTTAACAGTAACGTAAGTAATCATTGCATATCCTATTACAGAACACAAAGGTTTGTCGTGAAAAAATACTTTCAATAATATGTCCAGATGACCAATAATACTCAAACATAATTAAAGTAGCCTAGAGAATATCATTTTTTGATGCCAAAAGAACAATTAAAACAAAAATTGTTCATACCAAGACCAACTTAAAATAAATTATTAAAAAAGAAACCAATACTCACGCAACTTTAGTAGGAAATATCTCACAGATGACACAGAACAGCACAGCTTCTGTGCAGCTGACGATGGCTTCGAACACACACGAGAGGATCAGGTTCTCCAGTGAGGATCTCACCAGGTTCAGACCCAGAGCTGCTAGCCCGGAACTGATCAACATCATTACTGGACAAGAAAGAAGTTTTAAATAATCAGATAGATTTTCAGGGTATATAGAGTGAATAATTATAGCAATATCTCATCTGGCCCAAGAGTCGAACTCGCAACCATAACTAACACCAAATTAAAGTGAAGATTAACAAGTAGTGTTAAGCCTTTATAACACAAAATCGCGCCTATAAAGGTATAATTTTCAATTATCTTTTAGATTTTCACATCACCTTCCATTATTCAATGCAAAAGTACACTATAAGTGTGATGTTTCAGTGTAGGAGAGCCATGCTTCGGCACGAATGGGCCGGCTCAACCGGAGTGATACCACGGCCGAGCAGAAAACCGACATGAAGCAACGCTTGCGTTGTTAGATCCTCAAACTCCTAATCCCCAAAGGCCGGTAACGCACTTGTAACGCCTCTGGTGTTCCAGGTGTCCATGGGCGACGCCGATTGCTTTCCATCAGGTGATCCGTCTGCTCATTTACCGGGTTATGCCATAAAAAAAATGCAAAAGTACGCTACAAGCTAAATTGTTGCTAATTGGACACTTACCCAACATGAGCTTCTTGCCCACAATATTAATAGTGAGACCCACCCACAGAGCAGTGGGCACACAGCTTAAAGCTACCACCAGGGTGTGAATGTATACTTTGTCATCCAATGTCTGCAACTTGCCCTGTAAGAAGATAGATATATCAGAGACATTGTAGAACATATATTTTTTAATAAGAGTAACGAATGGAGTTTCTTGCTCGTTCTTCTCCATTCGAATCTACATTTTGGAATGAGCACCACGGACAACAATGACGGACTGACTGACAGAATGTTATTTATTTTGTATTTGTTGACGATTCAAAAGTACCAAATTATGGTTTAATTGAAATAAATGCTTTAACTTTGACTTTGATAGACATTTGTTAGACGATTTTAATGTTAAAAAAGATGAACTGTAGAATATCTAGCTTATTTTCTTATAACAGAATCAAGGCAATGATTTGGGATGAAATTTCATTGTTATGTACCAGATGCAGGTATCTATTGTCTATTAAAAGAACCAATATTTTAAAACCATTGTGAGACCTGAATAAGATCGTTGATGTTTCATAAGATCACAAATCGTCTACCACTAAATCAATATTCAATTCCAAATCTATTCAAAGATCACATGGTCAGACTTAAGAGACGCAAAAATAATATGAAAAAGTTCATACTCACAGTCAACTCAGCAGTATCATTGGCAAGAGCTAGAGAGACCTCACAGACTCCAGCAGATACGTCAGGGTACAGCGATGAAAACTGGCTGAACCTCTCGAACAGGTCCGGGAACCACATCATCAATGTATAGTAGCTGGAATAGAAAACACGTATGAATGAGATATTTTTTTCATACTGGGTTTCCAGATTCTTTCGTGGATGGGAAACGTATGTAGCCATCCTTTATTTAAGCATAGAAAAAGTTGGAGAGTTTCTTGTTTTATAATTTTTACAATAAGGAATAATATTTAATAAAAATTTATTTTAAAAATAATAATAAAAATATTATCTTAAGTATAAGACATCAACAAAAAAATGTTTTCCTCATTGCCATCGTGAGGTAGGATGCCCAAAAGACTGGAATAAGGTTAGCATTGCCACGTTGATTGGCAATGCTTAAGCTTTGCCCAAGGTAGTAGCCAGTCCTTCGATCACCTGAAGTGTCAACCATCCTTCTTAGGCCCCACACGGCCCTAAAGTTTTAACCCAAACAGTTCGAAATATTTTAGTTTTCAGTTATTTGTATTCAACTTCAAAAAAGGAGGAGGTTATACGTTCGGCCGGTATGTTGTTTTTTTTTAAGTTGTATATATTTATTACTACTTATGTTTTTTATAATTATATAGAGATAGGTATCCCCTCTGTACTCCGAAATAAATTTATTCAAATAAAATAGATAACAACTCCATTGATTTTCGGTAAGATAAGCAAAACTTGGATCTTCATTACAAGTCTGAGTTCTATTACCTGAACATAAGTCCAAAATCGACGAAGCAGCAGAGGATGAGCAGGCCAATGTAGGGTGGCGTCACCAGCATCTTCTTCCTCACCCAGAAGGCGTCCCACCTCTGTGCCCACGTTAGCGGGGCTTTGGTCTCATTCCCATTATTGTCTGCTGATACCACTTCCTCCTCTTCGCCTTCATAGGCACTTATCATTGACTCTACCTGAAAAGGCAAATGATGGTTGTGGTATATTTTTAGACATATTAAAATTAATTATTATTGTAATTAGTTACATTGCAATCAAAATCTACGGGAATACTCAAGTTGGTACAAAAACTGACAAATGCCCTTGGTATAAATCCCGAACTAGTAGGTATCATTGAAATCGAACCTGCAAACATCTATTGTAATATTTGTTCGTATTCTATACAACGTTTACAACTTTTTCCAAAACAATAAACTGTATCTGTTTTATAATACCTCAGACTAAAAAATTACCTAATTGTCTAATTACTGTTATAATTTAATCAAAATGCTACACTTACAGGGAAATCCTTCTCACTGAGCTTGGTGTTGACAACGAATATCCTCTGCAGCACTTGCAGGGCCTGCTCAGCTCTGTTGGCGTATAGCAGGTATCTGGGACTCTCAGGGAAGGGGATGAGGAGCAGCACCACCAGCAGACTGGGAATACCACAAGCTGCCACGAACACTCTCCACGAGGTGTACTGGAAATCTGCTCCTAAAGCCGTCAGGTTGAACCTGGGGTCCGGGATGATGAGGAATGCGATACCTGAAATCGAACAGACAATGGTATAATGTTAATAATTAGATTTCATCAATTTAGAAAGGATTTTCTGTATGAGCATCGCAAGACAACCAAAGTATGTATTATGCTTTCTCGTGGTTCCAGCTGAGTCTCAACAGTGGATATTCAGTCGTACGCATGGTGTAAAGCACCAACTATCAGCCCTGCTGGTACAGAACTACGAGATATACTTCTCGTGGTTCTCGTACCGTAAGACAAGCGTGGCTTATTCCACAAATAATAACCTCCCGACATTGCGACCGTTGCTAAGTCATATAATATAGGAGTAACCTATGTATTTCTAACACATCGTCCAAAGTTTGTGTTGATAAAATCGTATGTTAAAACACTATGCTGGTATGTTGGTGATCGCCATCGCAATTGGCAGCTGATGGCATGACTCCCGTGCCAGAGTCATCATTCCGGATGGCCTCAAGCGTGGCGCTGACATTCAAATTCCTGCGCATATCGTGATGCGATATCATCAATTTTATCTATTATTGGTCTCTTACATAGTGGACTTTATGCTGCGAGTGGCACTGCGTACACAGGAATTAAAAATATTTACACTCAAACGCAGTATTAAATCTAAATACCGACTTTAAAATGTAAGTGAAAGCAAATGCAATAAAAAAATTACCTGGCAACAATATGGTGCCGAATGTCCAGAACACTTCGAGCCTGCACAGCATGACATCCCGATGCCTGAGGGAGAGGAAGTCCCCGAAGTAAGGAAACACGAGCCCCGTGGCCCCAATGATGCCGAAGCCAGAGAAAAACCTGTAAGAGTCACAAGTCTACAACGAATAGTTACGTCAAGATTGGTACAAATAAGGTGCAAAGTGAAAAACAAAAATTGCAACTTCTTCTGAGCTTGTAAAAATCTAAGTTTTATAAAATGTGATCATTCTAATAACATACATAACGCAATCAGTGATTTCAAATAAACTGAAAATGGCATATACTACAAAATATAAATTCTCTACTAGCAATAATCCTCTATGTTGCATAATATCTAGTTACCTGCAAGCCAAGAAGGCTGGGAATGACTGCACCACGCTGGAGAGGAAGGCAGCCAGCGCGTCCAGCAGCAGGGCTCCAATGATGGCCTTCTTGCGACCTCTCGCGTCTGCCAGGTTGCCCCAGAAGTAGGATCCTACACACATACCTGGAAGAAGAATTGATACAGAATGAAATTTAGATCAGAGTGATTGGCTTCACAGCATCATGTCATTATCCAATCCAATCCATTAGCATTTCTTAAAACCAGTTAGTTATATAAGTAGCTATTGATATCACCTACAAATAACAAGAGTATGCAAGGATTTCAATTCACTATTGGTTTGTGTGGTTTTTCGATGGTCATAATTCTCGAAGTGAGTTTGACTAAAATTCGCTTCCAATTACTAGAAGCTGACAATATAACCAAGAAAAACGTAGATGCATCTATAACCTCTGACTATCTCTTTAGAGAAGAAAAAAGGCATCAGGACAAGCGTGATTATATGCTGGTATGCCTGTACCCTGGTCAGCATATAAGAACGACTTACCAATAAGCGGCGTGGCAGTTAGCCTGCCCTTGTCACTGGAGGACAGGTGGAAGTCGTACTCCGCAGCTGGCAGCACGAAGCTGAGGGTGGTGGTACTGAGCGCGCACACCGCGTATATGGCCCCGCAGGACATGAGGAGCAGCCATTGGAAACACCCGTAGCCTGAGGAAGAAGAAGATATAGTTTAGATCTATTGAAAAAAATACAATCTATTTAAAGGGAAATTATGGAATTTTCTATGCTACCTTCTACACATGAATTGACGGTTTATCGAATAAATTTACAATATCTGGTCGACTGATTGATGAGACTGTTCTAACCATATGGTTTCCCCAAATTGTTTCTGAAATCTTTAAAATTGAGTTCTTAAGTTGCTTTCGGTTTTGTTTTTTATGGTATGACCTGGTAAACGAGCAGATGGATCACCTGATGGTAAGTAATCGGCGTCGCACATAGACACCTGGAACGCCAGGGGCGTTACAGTGCGTTACCGGCCTTTTGATAATTGGCTCTCCAGTAACCTAACTGACACGACGAAACACCGTGGCCGTGGTATCATTCCGGTCCAGCTTCGCCATTCGTGCCGAAGTATGGCTCTCCCTCACTTAAAACACTGTTTTGTAAAACACTCACTTGAAATATTTCAGTTAGCTCAATATCTGGCTCCTAACTTCCGTATGAGTATAATTTCTAATGTTCCCTTCATTTACAACAATTATTTTGTCACTTATGTACTAACTTCGATCTCTAATCAGTTTCCATTTAACAAGGTTTAAAAGCACTAACAAGCTTAAGTGCTCATTTCGCTCGTAATGTAACATTATTATCATTATATAAACCGATATACATAATGTGTCATCGCAAGTCCAATCAGATTGCACTTCAATCAGCGATTTATTTATAGCACACAATACAGTAACAATATCAAGGATAAAGCACCCATACATTTCTGTCACGATCTCTTTTAAAATCGATTCTACTCGATTCTAGACATCAGCTGTGAATTGAATCGATATTGAGATCACTTCAGCTAATGGGTTTCAATGATACAGTGTTATATTTTCACGACTAATGTACTTTACGTGTATAGATAGAGATGTTATCTTATATGGTGTTATGACGGTATTTGTCAAAGATAATGTAGGTCAATTATTGATTGAGATATTTAGGCCATTAATTATGTCGTTGGTTATTTAGGAGTTTTGTTATGATAGGTTCTGACTTCAGTTCCAATTTCGGTAAAGGAAAGTTTATACTTTTCATTGGCATGTAGAAAATATGTATGCTCAGTCTCAGTAGGTAGGTACCTAATCATGATAATTCTTTTGTAAACTACGTTTAAAAAACGGACCCTCTTTTTTTAAGTCGGTTAATTAACCCGTGGTATACCGTAGCATAGATCCACGCGAGACACAATGTATTTTCTATTGTGTCTTATATACCGGTAGTCAAGAGGTCAATATACTAAAACCTTCTCCTAAATGTAACAAACACTTTTTTTAAAAACCACATTATATGGTTCAGCCAATTGCGAGATAATCCCGCACAAACTTACATACATACATACACACACATACGTATAGGTCAAACTTGGAACGAACGTTTTTTTTCTTTTTGAAGTTAGTTAAAATTGTGGAAAGTTACACGTGACTCTTTATTTCTAAGCCTTTCCCCCTCCACATAAAAAGTTAATTAACCCCACTTGTAATATAGGACTTATTGTTTTTAAGAAATAAACAATAGTCCTGCAATTATTTCCTTTATCTAATAGTTATAAAACGAATGCACAGTTGGCGCAGTGGCTGGGCAACTGACTGTCGCACAATATGTCGCGGATTCGATTCCCGCAATACTTAAACTATTTGTGTGATCCACAGATTGTGGTTTCGGGTGTAGGTGTCATGTGTATGTAAACTTGTATGTTTGTTAACGCACCCACGACACAGGACGAAATCCTAGTGTAGGGTAAAAAAAAAGTAATCTAACTACTGTTAAGTATTATTAAACCACAAGTAAATAAACCAATCATGGTAGATTTACAGTTACAGACATAAATTATTTAAGTAAATCTAGAAATTACAACCGAATCAAAACCACGGTTCAAGCCGTGACTATCATAATTATGTTACACCGTATTATTTAATTATTCTCTCTAAAGTAAAATGTTTCAGCTGAATATGATTGTATGTACTTAGAAAAAAATAAGTTACTTAAATGGCTAAACCCCTTGAAACCTGTCAAGTCTGTATCTTCTTCTTCTTATTCTTTAACCTTTTTCTACCCTTAGGGTGTAGGCCTCCTTCTGTTTCTGCCATCTATGTCTTGAGCAATTTCTATCTATTTGGTGCCAGCTGTTCGTATGATGTCATCGTACCAACGCATCTGGGGTCATCCTTGTGAGCGTTTTTCACCCCACGGTCTCCACTCTATCACGGCTTGCACCACGAACCCTGTTTGCGTGCAACGTGATCAGCCCACTCCCACTTAAGTTTCGCAATATGCTGTGTGACTAAATACAAAAATTAGTCTGTATAAATACAAAATTTTTGCATATTGCACGGTCTGTCGGTCTCTTTTTATCAGATTATCATGATTTTCAACCAACTTCCCTATAAAGAGGAGGTTATCAATTCGTCTGTATATTGTTTTTTATGTTCATGTCACTCGATTATTAGTTTATAGAATTATTCTTCATCACTAACAGCAGAAAATTTACTACAATATCGTAAAAACTTGCACAATTTTTTACACACTAATCCTAACACATATTTTACACAAGATCAATAATAAAGTAGCAAACACAGTACGTTTAATAACATTTTAAAATCCAGATTACAAAGCACTAATGAAGGTGGTAATTTGTTGGAAATCTCTTACATAAACAGGTTCGCTAAGCTCTAAGTAAGCCGGCTAAGCATTGCCACAAATTAGATTTGTGCCTGACGAAATCGAATCCAATTAATCGGACAGGCGACGGCAGGGCGAGGTTGTAACCACAGCGCTGGGAGAACCTACGCACTTTCATGTCACAGAAAATATTCATAGAATGAAAAATAATTTTAATAATGCTTCAAATGTTTTTAATATTAATAATGCCTCATTGGTCGAGTGGTCGCAAGTGCGGCAAGGGGTCTCGGGTTCCATTCCCGGGTCGTGCAAAGTATTGCTGGGTTTTTATAAATTATCAGTAGTAGCACGGAGTCTGGAATTGTACCCTATATATGGCAATAGGTTCACCCCCTATTACATGGGACTCATAACATAAATAGTGAAAAATGGTTGTTACATTTTTCAGTAGCATTAAGTGGCCGAAGGGGTAGGCAGAGGTGCACATTGTAATGTGCTTCGGGGATAAAAGGCGTGATGTTATGTTATGTGTATTCATAATGATATTATGTGACGGAGTAGTTGTATAGTTTACATATAGCGAAGTTAGATAGGTAGGTCTCTTAGAAAATTAGGCTATACTATATATTGTGCGCGGATAGCAACTGGTTCGCTAATGCAATTGTTAACAACATAATATTATCTAAAGAAGCAAAATAAAATTGCAAAATTCAAATTACTGTTTCTATATTCAGGAAACGTATGTACTTAGTTTCTTGGTTCATATCGTAACAATCAAATAAGTATAGTGTTAGTAAACCTTTATTGTCTATCACTCATAACATAATTAAATAACAAGTGGTGTTAATGAACTTTCATTGTTTGCCACTAATAGGAAAATAACTTATGAAAAGATGATGACACCTACATTGTACACGAACACCTGTAACTGCATCGTCGAGGATTAAAATTTGCTTCAAGATATAAACATACCATTTTCTAGGAAAAGAAAACTAAAGCGCTGTACATCAGCATAGTTAATATTAACATTCGCTGTACTACACTGAAGCGCGTTATCATTGAAAACAAGTATAGCCTTGAACTAAACGTGCCAACACTACATAAACTACCCATAAAACACACACACACACACACACAGTTATATACTTTCACTTCCAAGTCCGAATCCAACACATAACAATGAGTAACCCATAGGATTTCCTAACAAGGTCACGGAGTAAAAAATAGCCCACAATGACAGTTTTCCTGGAAGCTCTCGTAATGTGGGCGGTATATTCTATTTATACTTACTACAAGACTTACATAAATATTATATCCTATGTTTTCCGAAGGAAATAAGTAGAGATACGTACTTAGTTAGGTTAGGTACCATTTTTGTACCTAAGGATGAAAAATCGTCAAATGACTGCTTTCGACCTAGGTGAAGCGGGAGGGAGATTTAGACTCTTACTGACTAAAAACCAACCCGTTTCGGACTCCTGCACATCGAGCCGGAGCCCCGGTTACCCGTTAGGTTCTCATGGCAAGTCGTTTTGCCGCGGAATGAAAACGATATTTTCACAGTGTATTTACGTCCCTTCGACCGTGACAAAGAATTCTAAACATTCCAAACACACTTCCCCAGACCACAATGTCATTCCAACGTGTTGAATAAAATGGCAAATAAATAGTTTTAATGACGCCATACAAGCTATTATCGTCATCCCGATGTCACAAGGGACTAAGCACTTCGGACTTCGCCCTTCCTCGCTATTTTCGTACGTAAACATCAACATTGAACATATGATCAATTTATTTTTGTTCTTTTGGTATATTGGTTATTAATGCGACTATTTAGTACGCTGTTAGTAGTTGTACACTTGTTGTACCTTCACTCTATAGGATATAAAAAGTTCAGTGGTCCCCGTAGAGTGCTCTCACATAACATAACATCACGCCTTTTATCCCCGAAGGGGTAGGCAGAGGTGCACATTATACCACTGTACATTGTAACCCCCACTTTTCACTATTTATGTTATGAGTCCCATGTAATAGGGGGTGAGCCTATCGCCATATACCGGGCACAATTCCAGACTCTGTGCTACTACTGAGAATATTTAAAAACCCAGTAATACTTTGCCCTGTATGCTCCCACATTTCACCCCTTTGTTAAATTGAAACTGACAAATATTTTAGTATTTAAATGTTACGATGACTTTATATCTTTGTACCTCCACATAAATAGTATTCCTTTTAAAATAAAAGACATATTGAAATGCATACGCCACAGTCACGTATCGTAGTCGTTAAGTGTACAGTAAAACTTCAAAAATCTT